TGTTCAGGCGCCAGGTGTTGCAGGTTCTCCTCAGGCCAGCTGTGAAGACCCTAACCTGGATCGGGTCCCCTGCCGATTTGAGGGGTTAAGAGGCGCAGAGTCACGACACACAGACCCCGGGAGTTGGGTAGAAGCAAGCACTAGGCGAGGTGCTGCAGGCTGTTTAATGCAGGAGGGGGCAGGCCTTTTATCTCCCTTTTCTCTGCCCCCAAGTCCCTTTAGTCAGCGTATCGTTTTCTGATTGGTCCGCGCCACGCATTCTGTCAGCAGTCACTGGGCTCACGAGCAGGGTACGGAGGCGAGGCGTGGGCTCCTTTTGGCGGGCTATTTGTGGACCAAGAAGTGAAGTGAATTCTCTCTGAATCCCAGGGCTCTGGGTCCACGCCATCTTTGGAGGCCTCCTGCTACAGAAATCCACCAGCCTCTGCCTCCTGAGTGTTATGATTAAAGATGTGCATCTCTACCAGCCTGGCTTTAGATCACATTTTTAAGAACAGACCTCTAAGCCATGTTTCTGACTCCTCTTTAGTGCAATGTTATCCTCAGGTGGCCATGGGTGGGGACAATAGGAAATGGTATCCAAAGACCACAGAAGTGAGGTCTCCATGGCATTGCAATTGGTTGGAATTTTAGACAATGAGCATAAACTGAGGACCCCTGCTGCAGGTGGCTTCCCAGATGCTTTGTACAGATGCCTGCCTCTTCAATAGGGCTTAGGAGGCCAAGCTAGGAACAGAGGTATACCTAGGGCTGCACATAGCATACAGTGGACCCTATTCTATTTTCATCTCTGTTCCTGTGATAAAACATCCTGACCAAAAGCAACTTAGAGAAGAAAGGGTTTCTTTTAGCTTACATTTCCAGGTTCTAGATCTGATAGCAGAGGAAAGCCATGGCAGAAACTTGAAGCAGGTCAGCTCAAATCCACAGTCCAGAGCAGAGTGGAAGGAGTGCACCCATCCTGCCTGCTTGCTGATGCTTCTACCCAGCTGTCTTTCTCCACTCTTACACAGGTTAAGGCCCAGCCCATATGCCACCTACATTCAGGTGGGTCTTCCCACCTCAATTGACAGTCAAGTCAATCCCCCTAGATGTGCCCACAAGCCAACCTGATCTAGATAATTCTTCTATTAATGGCCTTTCCAGGGGATTCCAAGTTGTTAACATTTAAAACTATCACACCTCCATTTTAGTGGAGCTGGAGTCCAGTCCCACTTTGCTTCCTAGGGCTAAGTTATTTTTTGAAAGAATTTGTGTTATATAAATATTCCCTGTTTTTAATTCCAGTATTATTGCAAGTCTCTGTTTTAATTTCAGAAAAGTTAAGTAGTGACTTACTTTTTTTACCTTCTGTTTATGGTAGTTCTCTAGAAGTCAGCCAAGTGTTTTATATCTGCAGTTCCTGAGAAGCTGCTCCAAGATGAGCTTCTTAACTTCCTGATAGACTTGAGAATGCTGTAGGTCTGATATCTAAATTTTAGTAAGGCACTGGATGAGGTCTTCCCTGATCTTGTAGATGAAACCCTCAGAACAGCACATAACATAGGGGTGACCAGGACCAGAGAGGGCTGGCTAATGAATTGCTCCTAGCTTAGTGTGAGCAGGCGTAGACAGGGAGCCAGCTATAAGACTCCCCCCAGGGTCTCTGCCTTCCCTGACCTAGTGAGCATTATTAGTAACTATTCCACTGTGACACTTCTGTAAAATTGAGGCCACTCAGCCTCTGGGATATGATGAATATATTGTATGAAGAACTGTGTCTTAGAAGGGAACCAAGACTCCCTCAAGTAGCTGACAACCTGCCAGCTTTATCACTTCAGTCCTTAAGCCATCCTACTCCTTATCCATTCTGTCTTATTCCATTTTCCTAGTGATATGAAAATACCACAACCTAAGTATAATAGAAACAATTGAAGTTTATTTTGCTTACAGTTCTGGAGGCTCAGAAGTTGAATTTAGGGGTTCCATCTCTGTGACAGCAGGATAAGCAAGCATGCAAAAGACAAAAAGAACAAAAAAAAGTCAATTTTCTAACTAACTTAGTCCTGGGATAACAGTGTTCATCCATTCAGGAGGGCTGAGCCCTCCTGACTTAATCACCTCTGAAAAGCCCACCTCTTCGTCTGTCTGTGGTGGTGTACACCTGTGATCCTAGCACTCTGGGAGACTGCAGCAGGATTACCATGAGCTCCAGGCCAATCTGGCGACCTGTCTCAAACAGAATAAGCAAACAAAAATCTACCTCTTAATACCATTATAATGGCTATCAAACTTCAACAGAGGTTTTGAAGAAAGCATTCAAACCACAGAACCTTTTTGCTTTAGGCCCTACAGTTTCCCTCCTAGGTCCTCCTGCAGTAATCTCTCTCTGTCTGTCTCTTTGTTCAAGACAGTCTCACAGAGCCCACACTGGCCTTTAACTTGCTATGTATTAGAGACTGGACTTGAACTCATCTACCTCCAGAATGCTGAGATTACAGGCAGTAGTTTCCCTGCTATATTGCCCCCCGAGCAATAAGAATACTTAAGTGAACGTATTCTCCTGACTTTTTTTTTTTTTGCTTAAAATAACCCCTCAGGCCAGGTACAGTGCTTAAAATACCTGTAATCCCATCACTTTAGCAGTTAAGCAGGAAGATCACAAGTTTAAAGCCATCTTCAGCTTTAGGCAACCCAGGCTACTTGAAACCCTGTCTTAAAAAGCAATAAATAATTAAACAAATAAATGAACAGCCCCTCATTGTCATTCCCTTGCCTATAGAAGATCATGTAAATTCCTTTACATGGTCTTCTTACTGGTGGTCAGGGACTATGCCGGGTGTGCTGGATAGCTTTAGTGTCAACTTGACACACCTGGGTTGAGGGAGCCTCAATCCGGGAATTGCCTCTATTGGACTGGCCTGTGGCCATGTCTGAAGGGCATCTTCTTGATGAGTGATGTGGGAGGGCCCAGCCCACTGTGGGTGGTGCCACCCCTGGGCAGGTGGGCCTGTGTTGTATAAGAAAGCAGGCTGAGCAGGGGTCAGGGGAGCAAGTCAGTAAGCAGCGTTCCTCCATGGCCTGTGCTCCAGCTCCTGCCTCCAGGTTCCTGCCCTGAGTTCCTACCTTGGGCTCCCTGATGAACTGCAACCTGGGAGATGTAAGCTGAGTAAACTCTTTCCTCCCCAAGTTGGTGTTGGTCAGAGTATTTTGTCACAGCAATGAAGAAACAAACCAGGACACCGGATGTTTCTAGGTTCTTGGCCTCTTATCCAAAGAATTGAAAATAAAGGCTCACACAGATTTGCAAATGAAGCATTTGGAGCAAAGAGTTACCATAGATTAAAAAGGGATAAGCTGTCAAGACAGTGGACTCTTGAATGAAGGTACTTAAGAGCCACAGGCCACAGCAAGGGGAAAAGGCAATCACTTTTAATGAACTCTAAAGGAAGGAGGAATTCGTTACTAAGGGGAATAGTTCGGATGATCCTCTATTTTGGATGATAGATTACATCATACATTTGTTTTTCCTAATGAGCATGTTCCTTCTCATTATGCATCTGATTTTAATCATATGCACACTCAATTATGATAGGCATAAGATGGCAAGTAGGGTATTTTCCCTAAAAGGTTACCAGAGGACACAGTTTTGCCTTACTGTGCATGCACCCAAAAGCAATTCAGGTCAAATTGGCCTTTTCTTCATGCCTTGATATGCTGAGAATACACTTAGCACTGTAAATTTGATTTTTACTAAATTTGATTGTTACTAGAGGCAGGAAAACTTTCAGAAATGGGAGTATGTATAGCCTGATGCGGGTAGGGATTTGCAAGACGTTCTGAGGATGGTAGGTATACATTCTTGAGAGGTATGTGTGTGTGTGTGTGTGTGTGTGTGTGTGTGTGTGCATAGTACTTACAGGTAAAGGAGTTGGGCTGCCATATTCATTATTACAAAAGGTGATGTGTGCATAACCCAAACTAAATAGGGTCCCAGACTATCTCCTATGCCTGCCTGCCTCCATCTGAAGGGATCTCTGCATCCTAGCCATATTTCCTTTCTAGCTTCATCTGTTCTTCTGCATCTCACATTCTGCCTTCTAGTGAAAAAGGCATCCTATAGTTCCCCACATGGTCCACTTTGCCCTTGAACCTGAGCTCATGTGGTCCCCTGGCTTTGATGGTTCACCACATTCTCACCTCCCTTCCCCTTCATTTATACAACTGTTTTGGAATTACAGAAAAATTACAGGTAGATAAAATTTTAAAAAGATTAAACCAACAAAGCAACAAGTCAACATAAACACTGAGTACAAGGTGGGAGGAAGGTGACTCATCCCCCTCATTTGGGTCATGTAAAAGAGAAGGGTTGTGGATCCAACTGACTTTATGCCCCATGATTCAACAGCATGTATGACTGACCAGTAGTAACCTGATGTCCAGCACAAGGAAAGTAATGGTCTTTCTGGGTGGCTCCTGTAGGACTCAAGACTACTTTATTATCTGAGCTTCAGAATAAATGAGGTCTGCCCATAACAGTGCAGCTAGAATAGTGGAAAGGGGACCTACCATGTCGAGAAGGAAATGGAGGCATTGCATCTGGGAAAACAAGAGTACTGTAATGGTAGATACCTACAGGGCTGTCATTGGGGACCTCAGAGCACAGAATTAAGGCAGTAAGTAGAAATTCTAGAAGGAGCTTTGTGACAATTAGATATACTAGCAGTGGAATAAGTGGTCTCATGAGCTCTAAGTAACTGTAGGATCCAGTCTGGAGCCTCTGGGTAGAGGTGCTATGCAGTGACCTGAGCCCTGAAGGAAGTTGAGACTTCCCCTGGGTGGTTAAGGCCTACAAATCCAGGAAGTCACTGAATTTGCCTTTATTGAGTGTTCAGAAGGGGTGCTAGGAGTTCATTTTTTTCTGATGCCTAGTCTGTTCAGAGCCACCCATTCTCCTGCAACCCTTTGTGTAAACTTGAGTCACGTGATTACCTCTTTCCCTCTGTTTTTTTACTTTCTAGCTCTGGATAGTCTTGGCTTCTGGGAAGATGTGAGAGGAATCGTCTTAGGATCAGAGCTGGTTACAGGGTTCCCCTGGACCCTCAAGGTGCCAGGCCTGCCCCAGTACCTGCAGAGCCTCACCAAACTAGCCATCCCTGAATTGTGGGCAGCGCTGGCCAAGACTGAAGGGCAGGCAACTGATGTTCCCCTCACCTTCCCTCGGCTGCTGGAGTCTTCCTTTCCTGAAGTACGCTTGCTAACCCTGGACACCCTGCTGGAAAGAGCAATAGCCTCTGGACTGGGAGAAAAGGGACCACCTCCCTTGCTGCGAAGCATGGAAAAGGAGTTCCTGCAACTGGCGATGAAGGAAAACCACCCAGGATGCTTCTGCAAGGTAGGGTCTCATCTGCACTGTCGCCCCTTCTGTAACACCACTTGAATTCTTTGATGAGCTACCAGAAAGGTACAAATGAAGAAAGCAAGGCCAGACTTAGGCTCTCAGGGGGCAGCAGTAGCTCAGCATCCCAGGGGTCAGGACTCTGTGTGACCTTTGGCATGGCTTCATACATAGAGCTCTAAAAGAAGTTGTTAATGCTAGTGGTACTGATAGTAAATGTTAATCAGTGATAGGATGAGCCACTCTAGGGTGTTTAGGAAACAGACTGTTGAAAATTAGTTACAGGGTTGGGGAATGGTTCAGAGAAAAAACTCTTGCCACACAAACATGAGGACCAGACTTTAGATCCCTAGCACCCACATAAATGTTGAGAGGGTATGGTAACATGCCTGTAATCCCAGTGTTCATGAGGTGGAAACAGGGGTCTCTGGGGGCAAGCTGCCTAGCTAGACCAGCCAAACCAGTGAGCTCAGAGTTCAGTGAGAGACCATATCTCAGTAAGTAAAGTGGAGAGTGATCAAGGAAGACTACTGACGTCAACCTCCAGCCTCCATTAGCTATGAAATGTATCAGAGGTCATCTCTACTGACATGCTTACTTGGAACAGATGGCTATCTGGCAATTCTAGTCAAAAGGAAAGGGTTAGCTGGGCAGGCAGATCTCTGAGATGAAGTCAACTTGGTCTATATAGCAAGTTCCAGGCCAGGTGGGGCTACAGGGAGACCCTGTCTCAAAAAAAAAAGAAAAAAAGAAAGAAAAAAAACAACAAACAAAAAAGGAGTGTGGGGCTGGAGAGATGACTCAGTAGTTAAGAGCACTGACTGCTCTTATGGAGGATCTTGGTTTGGTTCCCATTACCCATCCATGGCAGCTAACAACTGATCCAACACCCTCTTCTGACCTCTGTGGGCATTGCACGACATGGGTGCACTTACACACATGCAGGCAATATACTCATAATACACATAAAATAAAAATAGTAAATAAAAGAATTTTTTATATAAAAAGAAGTGCTGGAGAGATGACTCAGCAGTTAAGAGCACTAACTGCTCTTGCAGAAAACCTGGATTCAGTTCCCAGCATTCACATGGCAGCTAACAATTGTCCATAACTCCAGTTCTAGGAGCTCCAGTGCCCTCTTCTGGCCTCCATGTGCATTTCATATACAGGTGCACTTACATGCAGGCAAAACACTCATGCACATAAAATAAAAATAAAAGTTTTTATAAAGGAAAGAGGTAGCTTGGCCTGGTGGCACAGGCCTATAATCACAGATATTTGGGAGTCTGAGGCATGAGGATTTTGATGTAATGCCTGTCTAAGCTACAGAGTGAGTTCAAGGCTAGTCTGGGTAACTTAGTGAGACCCTGTCTCAAAAAGTTAAAAAAGGGGGAGGAAAGCATTTATTTTTGTTTTATATCTCCCAGCTCATCAGGGAGCCCAAGGTAGGAACTCAGGTCAGGAACGTGGAGGCAGGAGCTGAAGCACAGGCCATGGAGGAATGCTGCTTACTGGCTTGCTCTCCTGGCCCATGCTCAGCCTGCTTTCTTATACAGTACAGGGCAACCTGCCTGGGGGTGACACTGCCCACAGTGGGCTGGGATCCACATCACTCAGAAATCAAGAAAATATCCCCACAGACATTGGCAAAGACCAGTCCAATGGAGGCAATTTCCCAATTGAGGCTCCTTCTACCCAGGTATGTCTAGTTGACAGCTGAAGCTATCCAGCACAAGAGCACAGTCCTTCTTCAAAAAAAACTTTCTTGATTCCTTTTCTTTCTTTTCTTTGTGGAGAAGTCTTTTTACCCTAACATTATAGGCAATTCCTACTTCCTTTTCTTATCACGCCATCATCTGAAGAGGTTACCCATATTGCCAATGGGGAATTGGGATGCAGACTGCTCTAGCTTCTTCCAAGCTGTACAGGGATGCAGGGTGAGGCAATTGGGGTACCCCCTTCAGTGGATCTATCTAAAAGACTCCCAAATTGCATAATTCTTAACTATAGGGAGAAAAGAAGGTTCTTGACTTGTGACTAGGAGATGTGAAGGAGAAGTAAAAGCAAGAGTAATTAGCATTACAAGTGCCAGACAGGGAACTAGAAAAAAGTCAGAACATGGTAATTTTCAAATGTTCATAGGAGAGTCCATTGGAGTTTCTTGACAAGGACTTCCAAAAGCATCCCTCTATTGGGTTCTTCCTCATTTTTCTTTTGTCTTCCAATCAGCCTGCTTTCTTATACAACATAGGCCCACCTGCCCAGGGGTGGCATCACCCACAGTGGGCTGGGCCCACCCACATCACTCAATAATCAAGAAGATGCCTCACAGACATGGTCATAAGCCAGTCCAATGGAGGCAATTCACCAATTGAGGCTCCCTCTACCCAGGCGTGTCAAGTTGACAACTAAAGCTATCCAGCACAGGGAGAGAAAATCTTGTTCAGTCCAGCATGTGTGAGACCCTGGGTTCCATCTCTAGCACTGCATAAAGAAAAAAGGAAAGAGCACTGGTGTAGGAATCTAGGCATCTAGCTCGGATGTCACATAACTTAAGGCCCTCAAGTCTAAGAGACTGAGGCAGGGCAGAGTGATGACAGAGACGTTACAGAGGAAATAAATTGGTGGGATCCAGGAGACTTGAACATAGATCTCCCTCCTTGTTGATACAAGTAATCTTGATTTACTCCCTGAGACTTTTCCTTGTATATTTATCTTTTTTTCATGGATTTGACTCACAGGTCCTGAAGATTCTCCATCATATGGACCCCAATGAATGGCTTCCTCAGACAGAGGACTGTGTCCACCTCACTCCAAAGGAGTTCCTGGTCTGGACAATGGATATTGCTTCCAATGACAGGTCTGCCCCTGTGCCCCCAGTTCCATTTTGGTGGGCTCCATGACCCCATCAGTCATCATACAGGGAACCTATTTACTGTCCTAACCTATTTACTGAACTAAGGGTTCAGATCCTGAGTTTCTGTCTAGTCCTCAGCCTAGAAGCCATGTTCTAAACAAAAGAAGATGCTATCAGAGTTTCACATTAATAACCAAAAAATGGAGGCAGTTGTATAATCAAGTAAAGAATTCATATCTGCAAAGGTTACAAACTATCTTTATAAACATCCATGCATAAAATATGTTTAATTCGAGCCAGGTGTGGTGGTGCATGCCTTTAATCCCAGCACTTGGGAGGTAGAGGCAGGCAAATCTCTGTAAGTTCAAGGCCAGCCTGGTCTATATATCAAGTTCCAGGCCAGCTGGGGCTACAGGGAGACCCTGCCTCAAAAAGACTATATATATATATATGTGTGTGTGTGTGTGTGTGTGTGTGTGTGTGTGTGTGTGTGTAAAAACGTGTGTGCATGTTTAATTTGGAGCTAGGCATGTGCTAACACTTGGTGCACACCTTTAATTCCAGCACTCTGAAGGCAGAGGCAGCAGGGTAAGATCAAGGCCACCCTGGTCTACATAGCAAGTTCCAGACCAACTGGGGCTACAGGGAGAAAAAAAGAAAACAAAAGAACCAAGAAAAGAAAAGTGTTTAATTTGGGCCTAGGAATGTAGGTCAGTTGGTAGAGTGCTTGCCTAGCATGAACAAAGCTTGGGATTTGATTTCCCGCACTGTAATCCTTGAGGCAGAGTTTTTGTTATGTGTGTGTGTGTGTGTGTGTGTGTGTGTGTGTGTGTGTGTGTTTTAATTTTTCTTTCTTTTTCCAGATCTGAAATCCAGGGAGTGGCTCTGAAACTTGCCTCCAAAATAATTGCCTGCCACGTGCAGACATGTGAGGAGGTAAGTCTAATTCTGTACCTGTCCTGGGGCTTGGGTATTTACCCAGAAGTGTTGGTGAAAGGTAACTGTCCCAGAAGGCACAATCACCATGACCTGTGTGCATGGCCTCTACAGAAATAATTCTTGCCCTGAGATTTTTACATTGAATCACTTGTGAAGAATCATCCTTTTGAACACCAGCTAAAGAGGAATAAGCAAATCAGTTCCAAGAATATTGGGGGTTACAATTTCATGAACCAAGTATGAAAATATATCAAATAAATACTTGCCTACCGTGTGGCTGTACTGGCTCTGAGCAGAGACCAGGAGGAGCCCTACCCATCCCATATGTCCTTTGACGGTGAAGTGGAACTAAAGAAAACAACTTCCTAGAAAATGCTTTGAGACACATACATACATACTTAGGTATATATGAGAGCCATAGAACTAGGGTTCAGGAAACACTGCCAAAGAGGAGACAGAAAGAATCTAAGAGCTAGAAGATGGGGAGAAGGGCAGCAATACCCATCCTCTAGACACACAGCCAACATAAACATAAACTCATAGTGGCTGTTATTACTTGCACTGGGCTGCACAAGACAGTTCCTCTCAGCAGTCATGGATGAGGGGTGGGGGGTGGGGGTGTCATGGGATCCTACCCCTTACTGCTAAACTATAGGCTACTGATGGACTTTGACACTTTGACAAGGAGGAGCCACTGTAATCCTGGTAAATGCACTAAATCCCAATGGATAGTTCTAGGTGACCCTGATCAAACCCACAGGGACACAAAATGAAACAGAAAGGCATGAATGTGGGAAAGAGATTAGTGTTGAAGAAGAGGTAAGGACAGGTGACAGAGATGAGAGTGGGTGGGGGGTAAGAGCAGTCATTGTGTATTATGTACATGTATGAAACTGTCAAAGAACAAATTGAATTAAGAAAGAAAAACAGCCTCTCAGAGTAGGAACAGTGGCCAGTCTACATTACAATTACATTTTTTCTATACTGTTACAGTACAGGCAGAGATGCTGAATTCGGCATCATCACAGTAAAGCTAGCACCAAGGGAGAGGCTAAAGATGCAAAGATGCTCCAGCAGACTGGAGTGCAGGCTAAAGACAGAAAGAGTGTTGACTGCTACATTGAATGGAAGGACTTTGGTAACCCAGGGAAGGGAAGGAGTGCCTGGGGGCTGAGTAAGACTTGGGAGAGGAGATTAAGAACAGAGAGCCCAGGGCTGGGCCAAGATAAAACAGACCTCAGGTCTATGTAGGGAGTTTCAGGCCAGTCAGGGCTGCATAGTGAGACCCAGTCTCAAAAAAAAACAAAACAGCAACAACAACAAAAATCACAGGGTACTCCACAGGCATGATTTTAGTAGATCAGCTAAAAAAAGAAAAATGTGAATTATGTATCAGTAAAACTTTTGCTATTGAAAACAATGGGACTTTGCTTCAACAGAGTACCAGTTAGGATGCTATTTATGAGGCTGCAGGCACAACTGGGTATAGCTCTTCCCTCCTTCTGTATCAGCCCACAGGAACATGTTGGGATTACTGATGGGCTCCTTTTGTGTTCTCAGAACAAGAACTTGATAGCCCCAGAGCTGAGGCAGTGGGTCCAGCTGGTTGTCTGGTCCTGTGGAGACTGTCTTCCCACTGAGTCTAGACTGGCTGCTGCCAAAGTCCTCACAAGCACCACATCCCTGTTCCTCACCAATCCCCGGCCCATTCTTGGTAAGTGTGCTGGAGGAGTGCCTCCTATACCCGACTCACAAAAGCAGGAAGAGATGGATACCCCAGGCTAAAGAAGGGAAGGTTTTTTCTAGTTTGATTTCTTTATTTCTGTGAAAAAATACAAAAATAACTTGGAAAGGAAGGGGTTTATTTGGTTTATGGATGATACTCCCATCATCAAGAGAAACCAAAGCATGAACTCAAGCAGGAACCTGGAGGCAGGAACTGAAACACAGGCCATTGAGGAATACTGCTTACTGGATTGCTCTCCTAGCCAGTACTCAACCTGCTTATACAACCCAGGACCACCTGCCCAGGAGTGGCACCACCCATAGTGGGCTGGGCCATTGCACATCATTCTACAAACAAGAAAATGCCTCACAGACATGCCCATAGGTCAGTCTGATAGAGAAAATTCCCCTTTCCTTCTTTCCAAGGTGTGTCAAAGCCATGGCAGGGTGTAGGAAGGCAGTTGTGTCTTGCTTTTACATCTTTCCACTGGTCTAATCATTTCTTACCTATCGTTACTTGCCTCTTTTCTTTCAATCTTATCATCCAAGCCATTCTCTACAATTTTTCCAGAGTGTCTCTGAGCCTCTGCAGTCTTTCTGAACTGTAAATTTGACCATTTCAATAATCCACTACTAAAAACCATTATTTGAGACAGGGTGTTACTATATAGCCCATGCTACCACAACTAAGACAATCCTCCTGCCTCTCAAGTACTATGATTATCAGCATGCACCACCACACCTGACACACCTTTGAGTTAAATCTACACATCTTTTACCATAACTCACAGGGCCTTCCTGTTTCATCCCTGGTCCACCCTGCTGTCTCATCTTCTACTATTCCCTACCTTGGCCTATTTGTCTTCACTAGGGAACAAGTCTCTATAAACAAGCCTCTGTTTGATTGGCTTTTATTTGTCTTTCAAGACAGCCCAACCATCTCTTTTTTCCAGAAAGCCAGAAAGGACAGCCTTAAAAGACACTGAGGACATGGGCTCCCCAGGACTCTGTGGTGCTGAGGTGAAGAAAGGGTCAGGATGGTGTCCAGGTGTCTGTCTGAAGTCCCTGGGTGGGCTCTTGGTTGCTTCACTGAAATTACTTAAAAAGTTCAAAGTCCTAGGGACATGAAAGAGAAGATATTTCAAAGTTGAATGCATATGCAGGTCTGAGCTGACTTCTAGCTGGTTTTTCCTCTCCCTGCCACCCCTTGTGCAATCAAGAGTAGTGATGAGGAAAAGGCACTGAAGTAAATGAAGCCTGAGGAAATCCTCAGAAACTGAAGAGTACAGGGAGGTTTTGTTTAATTTCTTAAAACTGTGTTGCTTTGTGTTTTGTTTTGATTATAAACAGGGTTTAATTAAAAGCCAGGGACACAGAGCCAGGCTCCAGCCCAGACCCCGTACTCTTGTGCATGTTGACTTCTTGCTCACTTCAGGTGCTCACTTACCATCAACTAGTCACATTCTATTTCTCATCACCACCTCCATGCTTGGCCCTTAAGAAGCAAGCAAGAATCCTGCTCCCAATGACCTTTCAGTATAGTTGTGAAGAGAGATTTCCAGGATAAGGAAAAGAATCAATTTTTAGGTGGTGAGATTGAAATCTAAATGGTAGCAGAGTTGGGACCCATGAAGTATCCCCTACCTGCTGACCTAATCTGGGAAACAAAGTTTCCCTCTGTCCTACTTCTTTTTAGTGACTTCCTTAGGGAGACCCCCCCCTTGTGATTATGATTTAATCATGGAACCCAGAGCAATAAACAGCAAATTTCAGTCAAGTCAGGCATAGTGGGTTGTGCCTATAGTCCCAGCTACTTGAGAGGCTGAGGCAGGCAGCCAGTGAGTGTGATGCCAATCTAGACAACATAGTGAAACCTTATCTGAAAGGCATTTTTTTTCCTCTTTTGGGTCAAGCTTCCTCAGTAAGGGTAACACCATTTAGGAGCACATTTTCTGAATAACTTTAGTTACTTGTCATTCACAACAAGTAAAATGTATGTAAAATAACCTGAAATTTCCATGTGGAATTGAGTCCTGGTTCATCGCTTCTGGTGCTGGTGACAACATTATAGAAATAAGGAAGATCAATGATAATTCTTGATTTACAAGTGTGTGAAGAACAGCCACCAGAGACAAATATACAAAGAGTACATTAGGACAGGTTGAAATAGACTAAAGAGACTGTGATACTTAGAAAACTTAAGATGGATTCTTTGGTGGCATCACACCTGTAATCCCAGCACTCAGGAAATAGAGATAGGAAGATCAGGAATTCAAAGCCATCTAGGGCTACACAGTGAATCTGAAGCCAGCCTGGGCTACTTGAGACTCTCATAAAAAAAGATTGAGGGACTGAGAGATGGCTTGGTGGTTAAGAACACTAGCTGCTCCTGCAGAGGACCTGGGTCTGATTCCCAGCACCTACATGGAGGTTAACAACCGTCTCTAACTCTAGTTCCAGAGGAATTCTGACACCCTCTTCTGATCTGTGGACATTGCACAGCATGGTTGCATTTACATACATGCAGACAGTACACTCATATTCATAAAATAAAAATAATGAATAAATCTTTAAAAATTTTAAAGATTGATTTTTTAAAGAAATATTTTATTTATCTTTTTTTTTGTCTTTTTGAGACAGGGTCTCTCTTGTAGTCCCAGCTGACCTCAACTCACTATGTAGACCAGGCTGGCCTTGAACTCACAAAGATCTGCCTGCCTTTGCCTCCAAAGTGCTGGGACTAAAGGCATGCACCACCATGCCCGGCCTTATTTATTATTTTTATTTCTACAAAGCACTCTTTGGTTTTTTGAGACAAGTTCTCACCATGTAGCTAAGGCTGACTGAATTCACTATGAAGACTAGACTAGCCTCAAACTTGTAGTAATCTTCCTGCCTCAGCTTCCCTAGGGCTGGAATTAAGAGTATGTGCCACCAAGCCCAGCCTGGAAAGCACTCTTAATGCATAAACCATGCCACTGGAGAGAACTGGCCCAGGGTCTTGTCGCAAGGAAGCACCTGCTGAGGACCTACTGGTTGCCTGCAGAAGGCGTTCCCCCTTCATCCCAAAAGACATTTCCCAGCCTCCCGCTTAGAGCCCTCTCTGTCCCAGTGTTGGTCTGACCTTGGGGTCTTCCTATTTTGCAATAATGCCTGCTTCCCTAAAAAGAATGGCTGTTGCTTCTTTATTGATGCTCTCCTCCAGAGCAGGACTTTGAAGCAGTGTTCCTACATGACTTTCCAAGGCATTGCAGAGGATATGACTTCTTTCTGGTTTTCTTTACAGAGTTACAGGACACACTTGCTCTCTGGAGGTGTGTCCTCACTCTTCTGCAGAGCGAGGAGCAAGGTGTTAGAGATGCAGCCACAGAAACTGTAACAACAGCCATGTCACAAGGAAACACCTGCCAGTCAACAGGTACCTTGTTCTTGACATTGTATGTCACCTTACTGTTCCAGGACCAGGGTTGTCAGACTTATCTTTAAGAAGACATAGGAAGCCAGAAAGTGAATATTTTAAGTTTTGCTAACCATTCACCCTCTTCCTCAACTCTGCATTGTTAGTGGGCAAGCATCCAGAAACCATCGGTGAATAAATGGGCATAATTATGTCCCAATAAAATTTAATTTACAAAAACAGGCTACTTTCCAGAATTGATCTGTTAGCCATATTCTACTGATCCCTACTTGGAACCTCCTACAAAAAAAAAATTGTTTTCAAAAGTAGAAATTTAAAGGGGCTAGAGAGATGGCTCAGCAGTTAAGAGCACTGACTGCTCTTGCAAAGGACTTAAGTTCGAGTCCCAGCACCCACATAGCAGCTAACAATCATCCTTAATTCCAGTTCCAGGGGAATTTGACACCCTCTTCTGACCTCTGAAGGCATTGCATGACACAGGTGCACATACATACATGCAGGCAATACACTCATATGCATAAAATAAAAATAATAAATAAAGAGCTGGGTGTGGTGGTACACACCTTTAATCCTAGCACTCAAGAAACAGAGGCAGGTAGATCTCTTGAGTTTGAGGCCAGCAGGGCTACAAAGGGAGTTCTAGACCATCCATGGCTAGTAAGACCCTGCCTCAAAAAACAAAACAAGCAAAACAGAACATGGGGCTGGAGATGTAGATCAGCTGATAAGAGTGCTTGCATAGTATGCATAACATAAGGCCCTAGGTTTGATCCTCAGTATCATATAAGCCAGGCATGTTGGTATATACCTGTAATCCCAGAACTCAGGAGGACCAGAAATTCAAGGTCATATTCTGTTATATGCAGAGTCTACTATCTCAAAAAAATTGTGTGTGTGTGTGTGTGTATTTTTTTTTCACTTTTCCTCTAAAGAAGAAACCAACAGCCATGCATCTTGCCAATAAATGTGGACTGGGTACAGGCAGAAGAGCTTTACCCTCATACCATCTACTGAGGGGCCTCCTGGAGCATCATGGGAAAGTATAAGGTGTTTCCTCATTAGAAGGTCTAGAAAGGGTTTAGAGAATACAGTGCTCCAAAGGAAGGGTTAAACTGAGTACAGATGGGAGCAGAATTTTTGACACAGAAAGAAAAACTGAAGCCAAGACCTTGAGTTGAAGGGGTCTTGGAAACTGGTGGGAGTTGCAAATGGACATGTGTAGGCAGAGCCCAGGCTGAAGCCAGGCAAGGGAGGGGAGAGAAGAGTAGCCAGAAGGGCAGGAATGACTTTTGAGTGCTAGGCTAGCAACCTTGTCTGGAGAGTTTTCAACAGAAAAGTGCTGTTTCCAGTACATGTTGAGGAGCATGTATGAGATGGACCAGGGCTAGGGATGCATGAGAGAACTGGGGCAGGAGGACCAACTGGAGCTAGTAGTGACAGTCCTTACTATAGAGGATAAATTTGTGAGACGATCCAGGGAAACTCAATAGGATTGGACAGATACTGTTTATAGAGAGTGGGAGAGAAGGAAGGCATGAGGTGACCTCAAGGTTTCAAGCTTAGGAGGCATCCAGAAGAGATTCCGACCTGTGTCTGTGATATAGAGCTAGGCTGTGGCATTCCAGGAAGTAAAACTACCAGGAACAAGCAAGGCACTCAGAGGCTACAAGGCATTTTGATCTGGGACAAAGTATTCTTTAAGTAATGGAAATAGGAGGGCAAGAGGGGATTTCCACATGTGGTAGGAACCGAATAAAGAATCCAGGCTCTGGCCTGCCCTCTCCACAATACAGTCCAGCTATTGGGAAAGCCCTGCCACTCCTTAGCAGAGCTGGTTATTGGTCCATCGGGCACTGGCTGGAACTTGTAGAGGGGCAAACATTACGTCCACTTACCCACACCATAGTACTGTTGTGTGTCTTTTGCACACAATTGGCCTATGTGTAGACTTGTAGTATGAATTGGTTAATGATTGTAGAAGGCTTAGAGAAAATAACTTACTGTGCAGATAGCTCTCCTGGGGACGAGTGTGGTGTTCATCTTTTGCTGCTGGGTTCTGCTGTTGTGCATGTGCATCACTTCATCTGGGCCACCTGGAAGATGAAACTCACAGCAGCCAGCAGCAGTGCCTGAAGCTCCCTCAGCCTGCACAAGTACAGACTTAAGTGGGGCCCCACAGCAGGCCCTCTTGCCTCTCCCTCCCTCTCTGTGCCTACAAGGAGGACAGAAGAAAGGACCTGCCTGGAACTTGAGAGTAGAGAAGTGACCTTTGTAGCTAGGAAAAGAGTCTGTCTGGCAAGACCCCACATGGTTCTACCTTTCTGCTGACTTGACTTAGGTTCAAGGACAGAAGATGCACAGTCATCTTTGCAGGTTTCCCTCACCCCCCAGCACCCTACACATACCTGTTTTTTGTTCCTTATTGGACTTTTGAGCATGGGATTCCATATGGGAAACAAATACTTGGACAATGTTTAAGTTTAAAATATAAATTTGCGTGGTTCCCCATACAACTGGGCAACAGCATTCTGGGTGAGAACAAGAGTTCCTGAAAGCTGGAGAGACTGTGGGTCAAGAGCCAGCAGGCCAGTGTGCTGAGCCCTTCTCCCCTGCATGAGGCTTACTCTCTCCTCTCTCAGTTTCAGCCAGGCTTTGCCATCTGATCCAGATTGGCCTCTCCATCCCCATTTTTATTTGTGAAATTTTGAAGAAAAAACGGAAGATTCTGATGGCCAGCAGTCTGCTTGCCTTGATACAGGATAAGAGAGGTCAATTAACAAAGGATTTATGTGTATGAGTGTTTTACCTGTGTGTATGTAAGTGCACTACATGGGTGCAATGACCATAGAAGCCAGAAGAGGGTATCAGATCCCTTGGAACTGGAGTTATAGACAGTTGTAAGCAGTCATATGGGTGCTGGGAACTGAACCCAGGTCGTCTTCAGGAGCAACCAGTACCCTTAACCACTGAGCCATCTCTCCATCCCCGAGAGACCCTGTCTTTAAAAAAATAAATGAGAGTGGGACCATAAGCAGACATATTATCAAGGGAGAAATGGAGAAAATGGGGACACTTTCAATGGGAAGAATAGGGAGGGAGGATAAGACAGGGAGAGAAAGAAGAGAGATAAACAGTGCCTAGCTAGTATAAAAACCAGAGTGAATTGTATTAGTCCAAAACCCTACTGAAAAATTACACATACAATATCTCTATGTGAGTTCTGTGAGTATAGCTGAAGACTATATAACAAGAAACAGTGCCAGACAGAAGAAACCTTCCTTTGAATTGTTGGCCAAGATAGTCCAAGAGACTCCCAAAATTACTCAGGCTATTGCCACAGTCCTTGATCGCCTCTCAGAACTTGATGGTCAGACCCCATTGCTGAAGACAGGACATACTTTGGACACAGGATTTGGAGCAATGAAGCTGGAACTGACCTGGAAGCCACCTCCCTGAAGGCTAGCTCTCATAGCTTTGGAGAGCACTATACAAGCTGCTAAGGGAGAACATCAATCAATGATCCAACCTCAGCTTCAAGGCTTAAAAACCACATCAATGACCAGCACAGCAAATGACATTCTTTCAGTAGTGGCACTTTTATCTTGGGAGTAATTAACAGCTACCTAATTAGAGTTAAAGCCCACTCAATGGGAGGAAACTCATGTGTGGTACTGTAAACCTAGCCAAATACACATAGCTGGAGAAGTCATAGATGTTAGAGAAAACTCCAAGGCTGTCACATCCCTAGACAAATGTAATTTCTTACTATGTGCAAAATATGGATCCTTAAATTTATAGACAAGTATCCCAGTCACCACCTATCAAGCTTCTTTTTCAAGAGACAGATACAATTACAGAGTTCTACAACTGGTCACATGAAGAGATTGTCTGTGAATTGCCCAAGTCTAAGTGGCACATCTAGGATGCAACCTCTATGCCTAAGGCTCACAGAACATATAGAACAAGGGATGAAGAGAACACTAATGCACCTTTCAGCTCCCATCAATGAAGCTCCCTCATGAAACAGAGGGCCAGGAACACAAAATGTCACAAATGACCAAAATGCAGAGAGAGTCTGCAGAGTGTGGGTCCCTGGACAGGACCCCTGTATTAAAATTCACCCAACCAGGGCTCAGGGACCATTGGAGAAGAAGAGGCAGAAAGATTGTAAGAACCAGGGAGAAAGTACATGACCATACAGAAATAGTTCTACAGGTTCCTGGGACCCTTCTCATACAAATCTACAGCAATAGTGTCAGCATGCACAAGACCCATGCAAACTTAAGCAAAAACCCAGCACAGAACTGTGGGCATGGACAGCAGGCCCCAATCTTAGTCGAAGAATAGTTACTGACCAGCTGTATGGAAGACAGTTTCCTTGTGGTCATTCACATCCACTGGCTCTTAGAATCTTTTAACTACCTCTTCTGCAATGATCCCTGAGCCTTGGGAGGCAGAAGTTTGAAGGACATCTGGGGACACTAACTTGACATGATAGGCCTTAACACAAATGACAGAATGTATGAACTATGGGAGGGTGCCAATGAGGAAGGGGGTATAAAGATGATTTTCTATATGAAATACACAAAAATTCAATAAAAAAAAATTTTTTAAAGATTAGGGAAGAGAAAGGACAGAGAAATACACAGGCTCTTCCCCTTGGCACTCAGTAGGCCCCTATTCTATGAAGAGTGACATAAAATTTCTGCCATGCATTCATGTTCAGTAGTGATGTCTTAAATCTCCTACCACCTCTGCCTTCTGGACTCCTGAGGTCTAGAGATTGTGTCATTCCCAATAGCCCTTGCTTTCCTGCTTTTCTATCGTCTATTCTGTGTACTGTCTTTTTCTTTACCTACCCCATGAGCTTAGGGGTTAGAGACCATCTTTTTGTTTTGTTCTGTTTTATTGTTTATTAGTTTGTTTGATAAGATCTTATGTAGCCCAGATTGGCCTCTTGCTGACCTTGATTTTTTTCTTTTTTGAGGGGGAGGGGGCAG